GTAAAAATTAAAGGTAGTGAGATGTGAATGTGATCAAAGTATATAATATACATGAGTAGAAATTACACAATAAAACCAACTATTCTGTCCAATTAATGCATAATAAATAAAGCATTGAAAGCTACTTTCCAGTGATGCAGAAATGAGAACATGTCACACATGGTATAAAAGAAAGAACTGACCTAGTGAGAGTGCAGGCGTCCTCTTTACTCAGCTCCCCAACTGCGGTTCTAGATGAGTGTGGTCGCTGCTTTAATAAGGTGACCAAAGGGTGGAGACTAATAGGGAACAGCTACTCCCATGGACTCCCACAGAGTTCAAGATTCCAGAGTTTCATTTTCAACTAGAAAAGAACAAATTAGGCAGAGGGCCTTTTGAGTCCCAACCCCTCCCTGGAGATCTGGAGTCCTTTAATGTAGTTTCTACAGTCCTGTAAATAACCATAACATGATTCTGTAAACAACTCTATAGAAACTCAGCATCCTTCTCTCTTTTGGAGCCTGCTGACTGTCAGCTGGGTAGCTGGTAGAGGCATGTGGCTTGAAGAAACAATGAAGAAGATAGAAAAGAATCGAGAGGTCTGCTGTTCTATGCCTGACAGCTATGGGTTTGTTTCACAGCCAGCTTATATACATTTTTGAAGGACAGAGTTAGAACAATGTTCAGCACAGGCATTCTCAGCCACTACCTATCCTGCCTTGCTTCAAGGAACAGGCAGTTTCTTTTTCTATCTCAATGTACCTCTGGCTGGCATCAGCAGCCTGCATCTCCCTAGATATTGTATTCCTTCTTGTGGGCTAATCAGGACTTTCTCACAGTCCTTCAAGTAGACTCTGTGGGCTAATCAGAACTTTCTCAGAGCCTTCAAGGAGACTCTGTGGGTTAATCAGAACTTTCTCACAGCCTTGGACCAAGTAAGCCTAAATTCTATTGACTCAGAATAGACTTCAGATTCAAATTGGGAAACTGAGTCAGTTGTGGGCTTCCACAATTCCTCCCTTTTTATTTATTTTAAGGCTCCACTGAGCCTCTCAGATGACTGTGCCTATCTTTGGTGTTTCCTTACACACTCCAATCTTACCCGTCATGGGAGCATGAATTCTATCCTTCATGTCCTGTCTTAGGTTGAAAGGAGGCAAAGAAAACTTACCCGTCTTTGGCTCCGAGGCCTCTTGTGTCAAGCCAGAGGAATGTGTGGAGTTTTACTCACTCAGTGGATTTCCAAG